GTACAGACCTTCTGGAGAATCTACTGATTCCAACTAAACAGTAGGGTGTCACAATATATACTTGGGTGTACAGAGCTTCTGGAGAATCTACTGATTCCAACTAAACAGTAGGGTGTCACAATATATACCTGGGTGTACAGACCTTCTGGTGAATCTATTCATTCCAACTAAACAGTAGGGTGTCACAATACATACTTGGGTGTACAGACCTTCTGGAGAATCTATTCATTCCAACTAAACAGTAGGGTGTCACAATATATACTTGGGTGTACAGAGCTCTGGAGAATCTACTGATTCCAACTAAACAGTGGGGTGTCACAATACATACTTGGGTGTACAGACCTTCTGGTGAATCTACTGATTCCAACTAAACAGTAGGGTGTCACAATATATACCTGGGTGTACAGACCTTCTGGTGAATCTACTGATTCCAACTAAACAGTAGGGTGTCACAATATATACCTGGGTGTACAGACCTTCTGGAGAATCTACTGATTCCAACTAAACAGTAGGGTGTCACAATATATACCTGGGTGTACAGACCTTCTGGTGAATCTACTGATTCCAACTAAACAGTAGGGTGTCACAATACATACTTGGGTGTACAGACCTTCTGGAGAATCTACTGATTCCAACTAAACAGTAGGGTGTCACAATATATACCTGGGTGTACAGACCTTCTGGTGAATCTACTGATTCCAACTAAACAGTAGGGTGTCACAATATATACCTGGGTGTACAGACCTTCTGGAGAATTTACTGATTCCAACTAAACAGTAGGGTGTCACAATATATACCTGGGTGTACAGACCTTCTGGAGAATTTACTGATTCCAACTAAACAGTGGGGTGTCACAATATATACCTGGGTGTACAGACCTTCTGGAGAATCTACTGATTCCAACTAAACAGTAGGGTGTCACAATATATACCTGGGTGTACAGAGCTTCTGGAGAATCTACTGATTCCAACTAAACAGTAGGGTGTCACAATATATACCTGGGTGTACAGACCTTCTGGAGAATTTACTGATTCCAACTAAACAGTAGGGTGTCACAATATATACCTGGGTGTACAGAGCATCTGGTGAATTTACTGATTCCAACTAAACAGTGGGGTGTCACAATATATACCTGGGTGTACAGACCTTCTGGTGAATGTACTGATTCCAACTAAACAGTAGGGTGTCACAATACATACTTGGGTGTACAGACCTTCTGGAGAATTTACTGATTCCAACTAAACAGTGGGGTGTCACAATATATACCTGGGTGTACAGACCTCTGGTGAATTTACTGATTCCAAGTAAACAGTAGGGTGTCACAATATATACCTGGGTGTACAGACCTTCTGGAGAATTTACTGATTCCAACTAAACAGTAGGGTGTCACAATATATACCTGGGTGTACAGACCTTCTGGAGAATCTACTGATTCCAACTAAACAGTAGGGTGTCGCAATATATACCTGGGTGTACAGAGCTTCTGGAGAATTTACTGATTCCAACTAAACAGTAGGGTGTCACAATATATACCTGGGTGTACAGACCTTCTGGAGAATCTACTGATTCCAAGTAAACAGTGGGGTGTCACAATATATACCTGGGTGTACAGACCTCTGGAGAATTTACTGATTCCAACTAAACAGTGGGGTGTCACAATATATACCTGGGTGTACAGACCTCTGGAGAATCTACTGATTCCAACTAAACAGTAGGGTGTCACAATATATACCTGGGTGTACAGACCTCTGGTGAATCTACTGATTCCAACTAAACAGTAGGGTGTCACAATATATACCTGGGTGTACAGACCTTCTGGTGAATCTACTGATTCCAACTAAACAGTAGGGTGTCACAATATATACCTGGGTGTACAGACCTTCTGGTGAATCTACTGATTCCAACTAAACAGTGGAGTGTCACAATCTATACCTGGGTGTACAGACCTTCTGGTGAATCTACTGATTCCAACTAAACAGTGGAGTGTCACAATCTATACCTTGGTGTACAGAGCATCTGGTGAATTTACTGATTCCAAGTAAACAGTAGGGTGTCACAATATATACCTGGGTGTACAGACCTCTGGTGAATCTACTGATTCCAACTAAACAGTAGGGTGTCACAATATATACCTGGGTGTACAGACCTTCTGGTGAATCTACTGATTCCAACTAAACAGTAGGGTGTCACAATATATACCTGGGTGTACAGACCCTCTGGTGAATCTACTGATTCCAACTAAACAGTAGGGTGTCACAATATATACCTGGGTGTACAGACCTTCTGGTGAATCTACTGATTCCAACTAAACAGTAGAGTGTCACAATCTATACCTGGTTGTACAGACCTTCTGGTGAATCTACTGATTCCAACTAAACAGTGGAGTGTCACAATCTATACCTGGGTGTACAGAGCCTCTGGTGAATCTTCCCTACCCTATCCACATGTGAGTGAGTGAGTATGGTTTTACGCCGATCTTTAGCAATATTCCAGCAATATCACGGCGGGGACACCAGAAATGGGCTTCACACACTGTACCCATGTGGTGAATCGAACCGGGACTTTGACGTGACGAACGAGAGTTTTAATCACTAGGCTACCCCACCGCCCCCTATCCACAAGAACACGCTAGCTGTCGAACACTGACAACTTGTGCGCTGATAGCAAATAATTATTTGTCTTTTCACCGTTTGGGTGGGTGTGCGTGTTTTGAAATGGACTCCGTCCGCGCGTCGTTCCGGAGTTGAACATAAAACCGTTCAATATTACTTCATCAAACTTTGCACATAGATTGGTCTGGTGCCTTTTGGTAGTTTTGGATTTCTGAATTTGATATGGTTTGCGTTTCCATGGTAACAAGTTTGACTTCGACAGAAATTGGTGTTGGTGCTCTTTTTTCTGTTGAATGTTTCTTCACCAAATGTGGCACCCGGATCGGTCTGGTGGTGAACTGGTGCCTTTTGGTAGTTTTGGATTTCTGAATATGATATATTTTACGTTTCCATGGTAACAAATTTTACTTTGACTGAAATTGCTGATTGTGCTCCTTTCCAGGGCATAACTTAAAAGCCTTTCATTAGCCCCCTTCCACTTTGTGGGTATTCAAGAACCTAAAGACATAAATCAACAGTACCACTCTATTTCTGGTATCAACATTACTGAGGTGTCTCAAACTGTGGAAGCACTCAGGCAGTCTGTTGTTGATACAAACATTCTTGTATGAATAGGTTACTATATGAATAGTTCACATCTGAATGTTTTCGTTAGATCAATGTGAAGAACAATGTTAATATTGTCTTACAGATCTGGACTTGTGTGTACGTGATGACAATATTTTCCATAACTAGTTGACATATTCATTAAGAGTATTTTACCATTGCGGGGATATTGATAATTTTGTCTTCTTGTTGCTCAAGTTTGGTCAGTTTTGAAATGTCATATCTCACAGGTCACGTTGTGTATTTCATGGAATATTTACAGCAAAACACTTTGCTCAGCTGTCTCAAATTTTGTGAGAAAAAATATGACTTCGTGTCATCTCCATTGTTGTATGCTTCTCTCGAGGTTAATACGGTCTGATGCCCTCCTCTTTGTAGCAGTGTCACCCGAGCCGGGAGGCGAGGGATGACACTGAAATGGCGTCTGCCTCTCGACTGGATTTTTAAATCAGTGAAACATATCCTGACAAGCATAAAACTGCTATAAAAAAAAAAAGTTAATTATGTTTAAGTTGAGTGTGCAAACGATGCAATGTATAAAATAGTAAAATCGGTAAAATATATATGTACATAGTGAACTCAAAACAGCTAATCCAACAGTTTTCGAACTCCGGGCACTGCATGCGTCATATTATGGCGTCATACGATTGCTTGCGATACAGCTTCACGGCGGAGCGTTTGGCGGTTACCTTGGCAGCGGGTAATATTGTTTCCAGTTGTCACCCTCCTGGGAGGGGTGACACGGAAACCTGTTACAGCGCCATTGACCAATGAAATGAAAGTATTTCACATGAAGGTAAGATAAATTTATTTATTATATTTATATTCTATTTATATAGCGCCGAGTTCCAGCTGGTCTGCTCACAGGCGCTTTGTTTCTCCCTCGATCATTGGATGTCAATCTCAACGGCACTTCGTATTATCAATCTCAACTCCCTGCGGAGTATACAACTCTTGCATAACAATTTTCCTAGTGTAATACATTGTACGTGGTAAATCAGTGAGGGGGCAGCAGTGTGCTCTATTTAGACTGGTGCTATATTTAGACAGAGTTCTGGAAGGTACTACAACCATATGGGACTTTCCACTATATTCTGACCCTCGGTGTTGGAGAACCTTCTGCAGGCTGAGGTATATAAGGGGAGCTAACTCTTGCCTCTAATCTCACATTACATCTCAAGTTTCAAGAAGACCAGCATTGTGTGGAGTTCATTCCTCCACTTGATACACAACCCAGTGGCGGATCCAGGGGTGTGGGGTGGAGTGGGGTGGGGGGTTTGTCAGGGGTTTCGAACCACCCCTCTTTTGAAAATGACTTAAGATCACATTGAAGAATTTTTGGCGTTAGCGGAGCCCCTCCTTTCAAAATTCGTATCGCAACACCTATGCTTTTTAACCTCCCAATAGCCATTTATATCTAATTATCATAATGTCTGATTATTTTGGCCTATGATAAAAGATGCAATACGTGTACCCGCCATGAAGCAAATATCAAGTTTCAGTAAACTGTTCGTACAGCTCGATATCTTGGAAACTCAATTCCTACACTGACAATTGCTCAAGATGGCAAGTTCTTAGTGGTATGTCACTGAGGGCTATTGAAGGAGACGTGTGTCATCATCCATCAACATAGAGTCAGACGACCTATCAGATGTCCATAGTTATCCCAAGAGCTTAAAAGAGCACGACTAGCTTGGGTTCATGATCGACGCTACTGGAATTTGAGGTCACGGAGAAAGGTCCACTGGTAGGACGAAAGACGATTTCTTTAGTTCATGACTAATGGTCGAGCTGGTGTTTGGCGCCTCAGAAACACTGCAAATCCACAACGGAATATCTAAGAGCAAGTACCGTTTGGCGGGTGTTCATTGATGTTGTAGGGCTGACTCTCACGTAAACTTGTCCTTGTGACGATCAGAAAAAACACCTGAATGGACCACGGTACATTGGCTTCTTAGACAGGGTTGTTGTACCACATTTTGATGGCCATCCTCTAAACAGAAGGCCAGTCTTCGTTGACGACAAAGTTAGGCCACGTCATGCACGAGCCGTTGGTGATTTCCTACGTAAAGAGGCAGTAGCAACTCCACATTGACCTACCAGGAGTCCAGATCTCAGCCCCGTAGAGCATATCTGGGATATTATGGGACGCAGGGCATGCCAGAGAGATGCTCGAGTACAAAGGCTTGATGTATTGGAACAAGCCTATCATGAATGGAACGCAATACCTCAACGTCAAATTCAACGTCTGATACCGTCAGTGAGGTGAACGGTCAGGGATGTTTTTGCATTTTGGCTCGGACATGGACATTGTGCTCCGTTATTGATGCTTAAGTGACTTCTTGAGGATTGCATGACTGAATCTTGAAAACTGAATCGCTCACATGCAGACTCCCTGGTCCACCGGATAGAGCATCTGTCCGAGACGATAAATGATTCTATACTCATGCCAATAATGGTTGACACCAACTTCAATTTTATTAATTGAAGTGTGTGTGTGTGTGTGTGTGTGTGTGTGTGTGTGAGAGAGAGAGAGAGAGAGAGAGAGAGAGAGAGAGAGAGAGAGAGAGAGAGAGAGAGAGAGAGAGAGAGAGAGAGAGAGAGAGAGAGAGAGAGAGAGAGAGAGAGAGAGAGAGAGAGAGAGAGAGTTTCCCAGCCTGACGCTCGGCATTAAGGTGATAAAATGAGACAAACTAAGCCATTTTTTTCGTAGTGCATACCCGCGTGATCACTAGGTAAAGAATCCGAGTTAGCTTTTAGACTTCCGGCGGAACTCTTTATATAAAGGTGTGAAAATGGCTTTCGTTGGGATCTCCCTTTGCTATATACGGCAGACGACACATTGAGATACCGCGGTAATACATTGTGAAAAATATGTCGGAGTCTGAGATAAAAAGAGAAAACCTAATTGGACTAAAGACGAGGTCCTGCTTTTGACAGAACTCGTGAAAACAAACGCCAGAGTGTTGGAAGGGAAGTTTGGTCCGGGCGTGACGTCGGCGAAGCGGCAAGAGGCGTGGCAGGTAATGTAAACATTGGGTCCGACTGTCAAGGTGTAGTCAAGAATACAGAAATGTCTTAGACTACGTGCCACACATAGTTTTTATTTGTTTTGAATAAGTACGATTTTCTGTTCTCTTTTCTGAATTACATTGGTACGCCTATGAAACAGCCCAAAATGCATCAAACACTGGAAAAATGTAGTGAGTGTAGGTGATGATTAGCCGAGGTCACACGACAAAGGTAAGGAACATGTATGAACGAAAAAGTTTTTTTAAGCGAACATGACCTCATACAAATAAATAGTTTTATGAGGCTACAGCATGTAGTGTCAGGAATATTTGTAAAATTTCCTGTTTTGTTTACTAACAATGGAAAAATTAAAAACATAGGAAATCCTACTGTATAATTTTTAAGGAAATCCTAGTTTATAAATATATGACTAAATATGAAAATTAAAAAAATAGGAAATCCTACTTTTGATGAAAAAAAGGAAATCCTATTTTATAAAAATATCCTTTCTCCCAAATGCTCTGCCTCTTATTTGTCCACAATCATAATACATATAGTTGATTTCTAACAAGTTATGGTCATGACATAGTAATTCATAAGCAGATAGTAACATATGTATATCATAATAAAGGTTGACAGTTTTCATTCAACTCAACAGGTTATTACAGCAACCATCAACTCCGCTGGTCTGCATCCCAGATCTAAAGAAGAGGTAGAGAAAAAGTGGAAGAACATAAAGAGTCAATCAAAACAGAAGTATTCTGAGTTCAGCAGATTGACTAGAGGAACAGGCAAGTACTTTTCTTCAGTTAATATATCCTGTATATGAGTCACGAGTATTAAATGATATCTATCAGTCTTCTGTCAACTGTCTTAACAAATAAGTTATTACTGATGGATCAATAATCAGTAACAATCGTCCCTGTGTTTTTGTTGTTGTATTACTTGTATGAAGGGTAATATTTAAAAAATGTGATCCTGAATGGAATAGTGATTGTCCTATTCCCTATTCCAATGAACATATATATATGAAGTTATTTTAAATAAAAGAAATCAAATTAATGATTGTGATTAAATTTTAATGCAGGAGGTGGACCAGCACCAACACCAATCAGCCCAGTGACCGATGCTGTCATTGACATTTTAGGCCAGGACAATGTGGCACTGACAGGTGTGCCTGGGTCAGTCGACTCAACAATGCTGCAGGTACTTGACTTGGTACCAGCCGATGACAGGTAAATATGAATGATATGAGGTACCTTTTGGTTAGAATATCATCACCTCACTTGTGCATAAATGTGTTCATACATACATGTATTTTTGGTATGCTTTAACTGCACTGTCTGTTATGATAAATATATGTAATGAACAACTGTTATTGGTTTTTTATATCTAATTGTAATAACACAAAACAACAGGCTTGTTAAAATTGAAAGAACATTTATATGAAAATTACATGCACATTTCTATCATTTTATTTTTAGACAGATTTATGAAGCCATGTGTGCCCCCCATCCACAGCCAGAGGGAGCCAGAATGGGTCCTGAGGAGCCAGCAGTCCATCCAGATGCTCCAAGATGCCACACAGTGGAAGCTCTGTTAAAACAGAAATTGCAGCTAGATATAGAATGCCTCACATTGAAAAAGGAATACCTAAAACATAAAATCATGAAACTGAATTAGCTTAAACTGCCATAAATGTACTTGCTGAAAATCAGAAATATTTACATATTTGGGTATTAGGTGTAAAACTAAACTCACTCACTCACTAGACTGGTACAAGCAGCCACAGACACGCTCAGACACATACATGCTCGTGCATGCACATGGCTATGTAAGTGTAATAATATCGCGTCATCAAACCCCACTTCACTTCCACAACTCAATGAGTCACACACCGCTTATCTGCTTGGCCTACTCGTGAAAATCCGGGTCATATAACATCTCCAAAAATCTTAACGCGTCACAAGAGGCGACTGACGGGATCAGGTCACGGTGACTCGGTTTATGGATTTCATCCTATCCAAAGAGCGCACATTGATGTGCATGATATCAATCACTGGATTATCTGGTCCAGTTATTATTTACCGACTGCCATCCTGAGTGCAGCGACAAACAACTAACAATTCTGTTAGCGACTTGCAACAATAATAGAACGGACCATAGTTGAATACTACAGCCTCAATTGCAACTGACAAGACGGGAGTCACGTGATACGGACGTATCAGGTCTTCTTGAAAAGCCTCGTTCGCGTTTGATAAGATCACGTGGGACCCTCCCCTCACTTTGAACCGACTGGGATTTCAGGCACAATACAGAAAGGTGAGATTAATGAATTATCACTGTTTATTTATTGGTAAATGATGCTCTTTTGTTTGTTTAACGGCTTTGCATAATGTCCTTTGATTTCTTTTCGTATAAGAAAAATCGCAATGGATTACAATATAAGTTATAGAAGTATTTATTGACAATGTAATTTGAGGAATCAAACTGTGATACCGCACTGATATCAAAAGACATATGAATTATGCCATCATACATAATAGTATTAATACTGTGGGGCCCAGGGGAATACAATCAGATAACGTCGGATGATTCCGTCATCGCGGAGGCAGTTTAACTGTAGGTGATGCAGGTAGCCATATCGTCAGAGTCGCCGCTGTTCGCTGTGCCGAGTTGTGGGACCTCTGATCTTTGGTTCAGTTTCATTTCGCCCTATTGTGGTTCTCCGCTTGTATATTTTCCTCGTGGGAAATAGTACACATCGTAGACCTGCATCACCTGTCTTCTTACCAAAAGCTGACACGCAACTAGAGTACTGTGGCGTTGGGGCGTTGGGGCGTTGGGCGTTGGGGCGTTGTTGTAGCCTAGTGGTTAAAGCGTTCGCTCGTCACGCCGAAGACCCGGATTCGATTCTCAACATGGGTACAAAGTGTGAAGCCCATTTCTGGTGTCCCCCTTCGTGAAATTGCTGCAATATTGCTAAAAGCGGCGTAAAACCAAACTCACTCACCCAAAGCGGCGTTAAAACTCACTTGCTCGGTGACCTTGACCTGGTGAAACTGAAACATTATCTATCACAATGTGTAAATAGGATAATCAATTAACATGTTTAAACTCGTTATAAACCTTCAGTCAGGAAAACAAAAGCTGATCTGAATTGACGTGAATCAGTGGCCAAGTTTGCCATGTAGTCCGAATGTAGTACACGACGAACAGAACGCTATCTTCAAGGACATTCTTATCTGTTTAAGAATAGATGCGTTGTGCATTCATTGGGGAATGGGACAGCTATGGCAATGTTGTCGTTGGTCAAATAAAACCAGCGGAAATAATCACTGACGTGCCAACACTAACATACATCATGGGCCTGTAACCTGGATATGAGTGACGGTTTTGGTATGTGCCAATCGGTGAATTTCCTCACGACTTATACAGCAATCGTAATCACCACGTGAAGTTCCGGGTTAGAACCTGGCCAGTATTGATGAAACTTCTGAGAGTTTCACTTAGAACATTCTCAGCTCATTATCAAGTACACAAGATAAAATCTGCAAAAATAGCTTTACTGACTGACTGAGTCTGGTTTTACGCCGCTTTTAGCAATATTCCAGCAACATCACGGCGGGGGACACCAGAAGTGGGCTTCACTCATTGTACCCATGTGGGGATTCGAACCCGGGTCTTCGGCGTGACAAGCCAACGCTTTTAACCATTTTACCGGTTGGCTATGTTTCTGTTAGAAAATTGGTTTTCGTTCTACTTTTCATATACACACATGGCTCTCTTATAGCGTTCGGACATAATGTGAGTGAATGTTATTTTATGTGAATTGAGGCATCTATAACTGGTCATTTAGAGCAGCAACCCATGCTTGTCGTAAGAGGGGACTAACGGGATCGGGTGATCAGGCTCGCTGATTTGGTTGACACATGTCATCGGTTCCCAACTGCGTAAATTGATGTTGATCACTGGATTGTCTGGTCCATACTTGATTATTTACAGACCGACGCCATATAGCTGGGATATTACTGAGTGCGGCGTTAAACAACAAGCAAACATAAACATGTGACTGTCATGAATGAGCCAAGAAATCGTCCCTGCCTATAACTTAACTGCTCTTGCCACACACGACAAAGAATGCGCCTAGCATTAGAAGTGAAATAGAAATGAACAAATACGAAAACACACCCCAAACATCAGTATGGCAGTGCTCTATCAATCACTTTGCGATGTCCACCCAATACACAAACAGTAAAAAATGTTATATATATACTCATGGAAACGAATAAGGGAACACATGAAAGTACAAGTGTTCCTTTATTTATTTCCAGAATTTCACCCACAGCGCAATACATACCTTGTGAAGAAACCTAAAAAAGAATAAAGGAACATGTACTTTCAGGTGTTCCCTTATTCGTTCCTATGAGTATATTTACATATGAATTATTATTAACTACTTATTCCTGCGCCTCAAGAAATACGGGGGCGGTGGGGTAGCCTAATGGTTAAAAACAAACAAACAAACAAACAAACTTACAATCTTTAATATTTGTAATAGATCTAAGGAAAGAAGACCCCAGGGCCTAGATTTTCGAAGCTCTCTTAGCGCTTAGATAGTCGTAAGTTAATGTTAAGGTATGGCACTTACGACTATCTTAACGATAAGAGAGCTTCGAAAATCTAGGCCCAGGACCCGTTCCACAAAGCGATCTTAGTGCTAAGATGATCGTAAAGTCCATACTTTAACACAGACTTACGACAATCCTCGTAAAATGGGCCTGTGAATATTTACGGTATTTGTTAATCTCAAGAGGACGCTTGGACACTCGATTGACACAGAACCGATGGCTAGATCACTGATATCACTACACAGACAGGTCGTTTATCCAATTATTCGATATATCCCAAAACATTTGGACCCCCATCCCCCCGAATATCTTCGGATTTTATCCCCACTGAGTTCCCGTATCGCTAGACAGCAGAAGCCGAGTTTATCTAAGCATGACAATCGGTTGACACGGAACCTAGGGCTAGATCGCCGATATCACTAGACGGAAGCCCAGTTTATCTAAGCATGACAATCGGTTGACACGGAACCGAGGGCTAGATCGCCGATAACACTAGACGGAAGCCCAGTTTATCTACGCATGACAGTCGATTGACATGGAACAGGGCTAGATCATTGGTATCACTAGACAGATACTTTGTTTATCCAAAGATTCCACATAACCCAAAACATTTAGACCCCCACCCCACCTTTTTATCCCCACAGAGTTCTAGTATTTATGACAATCAACTGAACTCTCAGGGGCGGATACAGCTTTTTGAGAAAGGGGGGATGCACACTATTGAGAAAAGGAGGGGTGCACACTTCATTTTCACCCGAGTTTCAATGGTCATTTAACAAACTTTCAGCACAAAAGGGGGGGGGGGTGCGCACCCCTGCACCCCCCCTCTGGATCCGCCTATGACTCTGTCTTGCATTGTTTGCTCAGTGTCAACTCGGGCAGGTGTACCACAGCAGATTGCGCCTCAATCTGTCACTCATACTGCTAGTGTTATCTCGGTGTCATCAGTCATGTTGTCTTTCTGATAACGCCTAAACTAACATCCACGGGTCAAAATATGCAGTGTGTCAGCATAAAATATATACATATATTCGCCATTATTTATTTCTATAACGGGGCGGTAGGGTAGCCTAGTGGTTAAAGCGTTGGCTCGTGACGCCGTAGACCCGGGTTTGAATCCCCACATGGGTACAATGTGTGAAGCCCATTTCTGGTGTCCCCCGCCGTGATATTGCTGGAATATTGCTAAAAGCGGCGTAAAACTAAACTCAGTCAGTCAGTATTTCTATAACAAAAGTGTATTGGACGTATATTTGTCTCTGGTGTATTATATCGTTATTCTCGAATTTATTAACAGGAATTATGCAAACGTCTTGAAAAGATCCAAAACAAAAGAGTATAGTGTCCTTTTTTCGAATTGCTTGACAGAAATTATACTAATACGTTTCATAAATCTCTTGCTACTGTTACTTTTACCACTACTACAACGTCTACGATCACTGCTACCATAGTAATGATAATAATGAGGATGACGATGATGATGATGATATGAATTATATTATAACGATGGACCTGTACCCAAGTTACTGTTATTTTTACCACTACTACAACGTCTACGATCACTGCTACCATAGTAATGATAATAATGAGGATGACGATGATGATGATGATGATGCGAATTATACTGAAACGATGGACCTGTACCCAAGTTACTGTTACTTTTACCACTACTACAACGTCTACGATCACTGCTACCATAGTAATGATAATAATGAGGATGACGATGATGATGATGATATGAATTATATTATAACGATGGACCTGTACCCAAGTTACTGTTATTTTTACCACTACTACAACGTCTACTATCACTGGTAGCATAAAATGATGATGATGATGATGATGATGATGATGATGATGATGATGATGATGATGTGAATTATACTATAACGATGGACCTGTACCTAAGCAGTTCTGTGTTTTACATGCCGAACATCACAGAAACCCGGGTGACCTTCACACAGCAAATTACTGTACCTTAATCCACTCGTTATATGATGACTTATGTACCGATTGAATCAACAGGCATCCGCCTGACGGATACATCACTTGAGCCTTACTATTATTGAGATCTCACGTTACAACAATGAGTGGGTGTGGTTTTAAGTCGCTTTTAGCAATATTCCAGCGGGGGACTCCAGAAATGGGCTTCACATTTTGAACCCGGGCCTCAGGCATGACGAGCGAACGATGTGACCATTTGACTACCGCACCGTCCGTGTGTCTACGATTGCAGCGCGATGCGCCATGTTCCCAGATATGCAATAGCAAATCACTTCAATGCGACGGATAAAGAGCTATGAACTTATCAACTACAGTTCATACTCTGTATATCTGTGATAATCTAGTTATTTTACTGTCCTTCGTTGACAGGCTTTTTATATTTTATCATTAAGTACTATGTATAAATATTAATTGTTCTCGTCACGATATGGCTGAAATATTGCCGATGTTAACTCACTCACCCATTCATATTCTGTATATGGATAATCTGCACACTGTGGTGTTGTGGAGTATGTTTCATCTGTAATATTTGTAAAAATGTTTGTATGTTGCAACTCAGAAATATTCAAGATACATGACGGCGGGTAGCCTAGTGGTTAAAGCGCTCGCTCGTCACGCCGAAAACACGGATTCGATTCTCAAATGTGAAGCCCGTGCATATCTGGTGTCCCCAGCCGTGATATTACTGTCCATCGTCGACAGGCTTAACTATTCACAATGTTTTCATTTTTATATTGTATAAATTGTTTTCGTCACGACTTGGCTGAAATATTGCCGATGTGACGTTAAATATTATCTAAGCAATAATATTAAATCCAAATTCAACCACTTTTAGTTTTGAATTTTTACCGAATCAGTGGTACGGAATTCCGTTGATGACAAGGACCCGTGAAGATCCGGGGTAGAATAGGTCTTCAGCAACCCATGCTTGCCACAAAAGGCCACTATGCTTGTCGCAAGAGGCGACTAACGGGATCGGGTGGTCAGGCTCGCTGACTTGGTTGACACATGTCATCGGTTCCCAATTCCAGATCGATGCTCATGCTGTTGATCACTGGATTGTCTGGCCCAGACTCGATTATTTACAGACCGCCGCCATATAGCTGGGATATTGCTGAGTGCGGCGTAAAACTAAACTAAACAAGACGAGTAACTATTCTAGCCGACGAGGTGACCTTACTCAACATCAGCCAGGCGTAGACACATTGTACATTAAACCTTGCACTCGCGGTATTTGGATTACGGCTTACATGTATACTGTTATTTCCGACAGTCTTGTGGACTTCGACCAGTATTGTGTTTGTGGTTCGTGTCGGTACAAGGATGTGTAGAGTGTTTGTGAACTGTTCAAACGGTTATTGTTATGTTCGTAAGGTGTAGTTAACGATAGAGTAATAGCATGATAACATGCAGAACATTTTGTAGTACGTACGTACGTACGTACGCACGCATGCACGCACGAATGCATGCATATGTGTGTGTGTTTGTATGTGTGTGTGTATGTGTGTGAGAGAGAGAGAGAGAGAGAGAGAGAGAGAGAGAGAGAGAGAGAGAGAGAGAGAGAGAGAGAGAGTGTGTGCATGTTTGCGCATGCATGTACGTGTGCCTACATTAGCACGTATGCGTGGCGTGGCATGGCGTGGGCGTGGCTTCGCGTGGCGTGGCGTGGCGTGGCGTGGCGTGGCGTGATATGGTATGGTATGTACGGACGGGCGGAGGGTGTAATACAGACATAATTTAATTTAAGTCTGCTAAAATCAAGTCACACAACCAATTGTCAACCATTAATCTGAATTTTTCTTTGTTTACATTTCAAACAAGTGCGGTCTTTCGCGGCACAGCTTTTTTTTTCACACCCAATATCTTTCGCTTTCATTCAACTGGTATTGGTTGACCATTTGTAATTTATGAGGACCCGGGAATTCAGTGATGCATTTTTTGCAGCTGGATATGAAATATACGTGCTGTAAAACACGTCTCAATACCGCTTTTCGCGAAACATGATTTTGTAAACACTGTCC